ATATATTCAACATTTTTTTGCTTAAAAAAATGATATAATGAATTTGTGCTGTTTTGCTAAAAAAGCGTTTTCTTTTTTGTCCTCTAAAATCCTTTTTGTCAGTAAAATCTGCTCAGTTATAAATGCATGATGTAAATCTGTTGCACCCTTTTCCAATCCTAAAACCTGTGATAAAAGCTCAGAATTTTTCAGTTTGAAAAACAATGAAATATATAATAGCACCATAATAAAATATAGAAAAAAAGTACAATCTACACAAATGATTTTTTTTTATTACATTTCTGTTCATTGAACAGATTTTAGGTGGTTTTAAGAATTTCACAGGTAAAATAATCTGACAAGACAAGAGGTACAACAGCAGGCACGTTGTCAGACCAACATTTTTGACCCACAGCCCTGGCAGGGTGTCATAATGTTCTTAGGTACTTGAATGTCTTCTGTTTGGAATGTGTTGCAAACAACAAATTAAATATTTTTAGTTTTTAATTCTCAGATGAAGCAATTAACAAAAACACATTTAGCTCATAGTTAAGACTTCTCCTTCATCTACTCTTGCTTTCTGTTCTAATTTACATTTAGAAGTGCATTTTTTAATCATCACTTTAGTAATATTTTTTACTCTTTATTTTAAAAGTTTAGCCTTTTCATTCTGTAGTTTCAGAAGTTTAGTTTTCTTAAATATCAAACCAGGGCAGTTAATGAATTAGACTTTGGCTGGGCGACATTAAAATAGCCAGAAAAACATCAAATCTTTCCCGACACTTGTGTTACAGTCACATCCAGCTCTGATCAAAAACTGCTTGCTCATCCTGATGCTGCTCAATCTGTTTTAATTTTTGTTTCAGTTAATGATTAGACTCCATCCATCATGCATGTGCCATGTATGATGATGTTCTCATTTGACACGACTCGTGGCCACAGACGCTCATAAGGAGGAAGCAGAGGATGGTGGGAGGCAGACTTCTGGGCAACATATCCTGAGTCAGAGACCTCCCAAATATTTCCTACGTTTCCTGCAGTTCTTTCACGTTCTCATTTTGTTCTCAGTTGCGAACAAAGAGAACTTAAACATAAACATGGGTAAAATTAATTAACACTCCTATAGTTTAAATGTCACACACACACATATATGTAGAATAAAGTTACACACTTCACCCCTTATGATGTATAGGTTCCACAATGTCACATTATTACTGCACTAAAACAAATCAGATTAGAGAAATACCATCACCTTACACATGTAATGCACACAAGACAGTGACACTTTGAAGGTATAAGTGGGCAATAATGTATATTCATTATTATCTGTGTATGCTCATGTGTCTGTCTGATATCAAACTTTCCCATAATAAATTCTAAACGTAAGAAACAAATTCACAACCAAGTGACCTTATGAAACACAAAAGTGGCTCAAACTAAGTCATTTTTACAAACAATGAGCCAAACTTTTGTATAGTAGTAGCTGAATCTCATCTCCCAACACATACTTTCAACACTACAGAGTGCAATATTTTATCTAAAACTTTGGTCACAACTGTTGCTATCAACCCTGTTTGCAAAATATCTCACAAAGCAATTATTTTAAAGGACTGTACTTATATAGCACCTTTCTATCTTATCGAGACACTCAAAGTGCTTTACACTACAATCTGTGCCTCATTTACCCATTCATACAGCTCTCTACTACATCTCTACACAACTAATTGAACAAATCATTTTAAAGAGACAAATCAGTGCTTTAGATCACGTTCATACACCGATGGGACACACATCGGAGGCAACAACAGGTTCAGTGTCTTGCCCAGAGACACTTCAACATGTGACTGCTGGAGGATTCGAACCCCCAACAAAGGGCTAGCATTCCTAGAATATATATTGTTTAGCATCATTCATGCAGGAGTTTTAAACAAAGATCATCATGTGATTGGAGAGGACAGTTCTAGCCAGTGTGCTCAAACTT